CCCAGGTTCCATGCTGATGTCAGTTTTGTAAAATGAAAGATGTTGGAAAGTCTCAATATTATAAAAGAAATGGTTTACAATTCATGCAATATGCAACCATGGTCAAGTTTTGGATGCACTTAGATTCATTCGGCACTCAAGGTGCTAGAGTCACTCATGGCTTTCGGCATGTGCGACTCTTATGTTTCTTTCATGCTGAGCAACCTCCCATGTGTATCCTTAACTTGATGGTAGCACACTGCATGCTGACAATTTCTTAATTTCCTTTTGGCTTTTTTTTTTTTTTCTGTAGAAACCACAAAGTCTAGAAGCACACATCTAAAGATTGGCAAAAACTTCCAGTTACACAATCTACATGGCTTCCTTCTCAGCAACACTTTTGATGACTGCTTTTGGTGCTTTCATAATAATGCTTCTTGCCATTCTTTTACTTGTGCTTTTTGTGTGGAAGGAGCATAGGAAGTATGGCCATATTCCTGGACCAAAAAGGAGGAGTTTTTTCCGTGGAAATTTTCCTGAATTTGATGAAAAGGGGAAACTTCTTTCTGAATTGTTTCTAGAGCATGCTCTCCTGTATGGGCCTGTGTTTATCTGGTGGTACTTTTTCTGGCCAATTGTTGTAATATCAGGCCCAGAATTCATAAAATATGGTTTGATAACTTTAAATCTTCCAAAGGCACCATCATCCTACAATGCATTAGCATATTTACTTGGACAACACAGATTTCTTGGATCTGGACTAGTTACTCAGTTGAATCATCAGAAATGGAAGTTAAAGAGAAACCACATAAATCCAGCCTTTCATCGTAGTTACTTAAAGGATCTTGTCCCGCAGTTCAATACTATTGCGGATGCTCTTATTTCAAAGCTATCAAGAATTGCTGATGGGAAAACTGTCATTGACATGTCCAATGAATTCCAAAAAGTGACTTTGGATGTGATTGCAAAGGTATGAGAATAGAATGAGTTTGACAAGTCCTACAAGTGATTAACATATAACTTCTCCTGATAAGATTCACACATTATTCAGCAAACAGCTAATGAGAATATTCAAAGTTAAATTACAGATCTGTGGTCTAGCAATGCTGGGGCCAGGTGGCCAAGTAAGGTACCAGGTGGCCCCTGGTACCTTACTTTTGCTCTTGGGTGACTCTTGAAAGATAAAAAGCATTATGCTGGGCACTCAGGATTTCACAGTTTTCAGAGCACTGGGCTCCCTTCAATTTTTCTTAGAGTGCAGCCTTGTGAAGTACTAGAAGTTTTAACCTTGATCTAATGTTCACTTAATTCTTGTTACTTGTTGACAAGGAAATATAGAAGGGAGAATTAACAATCAGGGCCCAGTTGTTGGAAGACCGATTAGCGCTAACCCAGGGTTAAATGTTAATCCAGGTTTCTATATTTCTCTGTTCAAAAGCCGTCTTAAGATAATTTTCCCAATAATTCTTAGAGCATTCAATCACCAAATTGTAAACAAATGGAATTAAAGTGAATTTCATTTTAAAGCTTTCAGATCTGCAATTAAATTTCATGGTAATCCTGGGTTATCTTAATTCGCCTTTGAACAACCCGGCCCAGATCTTGGAAATCAAAGTGTTAAACTGCATTCTCAAGTCAAGTGACCCATACTTCTTCCTGCTGGTTTGAATGCCAGTTTATCGCAAGTTTACCTACCCCTTCCTCGCCTGGCATTTAACCCTTTAACTTCCAAGACCTTTTTGTGAATTTGCTCCTCTAGCTGCTGTGCATCTCCCCTTGTGAATTAGAAACAAGACTTTTAAGTCAGATCAATTAAGGTTCCTTCCCATCTTCAGAAGCTGAAAAAGAAATTTTTTATTTTATTGGACTACATTGAAGTTAGACATTTTACCTAACGTTTACAAAAAGAAAAATTTAAAAATCTCAAAAAGTGTTCGACTTATTTAGGAAAACGTATTTTCAAATGATAGTTAATAATTCAGGACGGTGTCATAATCTGGTAAATGGGCAAACCCCAAGGAGAATAATTATTCACAGCAATTCCATGTTATTTGCATATCTTGTTTACAGTGCCTACCTGACAAAATTCACACATGGAAGTTCTCTGCTAGAAGAAAGTCTTTTCTCGTGGATAAAAAACATAAATCAAAATTAGAGAGGAGTCCTTGAGCAAAGGAAAGAAAAAATATAGGCCCAAAGAAGAGAGAAATGGCATCATTTTGTCAGGAAAAAAACAGTCCTGGCATTACTCTCCTCGCTGGCATCCAAATTGCGAACAAAGAGGGTGCCATCAGATCTACATTTGTCATACATAGGGTTAAAAAAGAAGTTTCCTTTCAATAAGCAAGTACCGGCCTTGATAGAAAAACATAGGCAATGATTGCCTTGAATCATATGAAATCATGAATAAACCTTCTCCGCCAAGGGAACTCATTTCAGCGATAAGGGTATATTCCTTAAGCCGTCTGTCGATTCGCTGTTTTGCTTTTCAGCAGTTTTTTTCAGGTTTACCCTTTTTGCCGCAGGTTTTTCCTGTGCTAACTCTGCTCATTACTTAATGTCCAACAGAACGAGATAAAGAAAAAAATGTGACTGCTATGCAGTACTTTTCCTGGGAAAATCTTGATCCATCATCATTGAGGCTAGGAGGTCTCTTCTTTCCATTGGTTTGCTGTTTTAGGAGGCCAGATAATCTCTTGGTGTGGTGCTAGTTGTTTACAAACCCTTAGGAGCTAAAATCTTGCATTAGGTTTTTAGAGGAATACATCCACTTGAAGTGAATTTATAGGATACAGTATGTAGATTTGATCAATTTTTATGAAATGTAGCCAAAATATTCCAGGGATAATAACGAATGAAAGATTGTCAGGGAATTTTGATATTTGAAATATTTTTCATGCTGTGTCTATTTATGCAACACTTTTTGCATATTTCGCGCTGCTCCAACTTTAGATGCAGATATCTAGACAACCAAGCAGAATATTGGAAAAGCCTGACACACTTTTGTTCATTGATGCCTAACTTGCGAATAAGACTGTACAGCCATTTTGCTCATTCTGCAGGATCCAATACCCGATAAATTCAGTAGAAGCTTGGTTGTTTCACACCTTACTGGCTCCTGACACTCCCTTAATGAAAAAAATGCCTGAATTATATTTTTATCATAAACTGCATTTATTAAGCTTCCTTTTGACATATAGTTTGTTAGGGTTTTTGGAAACTAGCGTGCGTACGAATTTTTTCTCAAATGACACCTGTGAAGGTGGAAAGTAACCTTATGATAACTTGTTTGAGTATTCTCTTTACTTGTTTGCCAGGGGAAGTAACATGTTTATTACATTCATTTTGAAATCACTGGTGGTCCCTGTAATCTGATTGGCTCTAATTGGTGCAATTTATTCATGAATCGCACCATTTTTTGCTCTAAATTGCATCATTTTACACTTGACTGAGTTTTTGACACATGACGTCAAAGTCTTTCTGTTTTGCATACAAATTAAGATGTAAAAATGTTTCTGGTTCCGCTTTTTATTTGAAAACTGGCTCAGTACTGCATCAGTAAAATATTTGAATTGACCAAGTCCTGTATTTGGGAGATTTCATAATGAGTTAAATAAAGTGGTAATTGAACCTTGTGTCGTGCAATTTTGGTCTGAAATGTCTTGTGATTTCAAATCTAACTCATGCTGTGGGCTGGTTCGATTTTGAAATCCCACGTATGATTTCAGCCCAAATTGCACTCCACTCAGTTCAATTACCATAAATGATTTATAAATCACTTTAGAGTTAATCAGGCTTCCTGTGCAATGTTGATAAGAGTCTCAGAACTGTTTGGTAGAGCTGCTACAGTTGATTTCAGCACTGATAAGTGCTTGGATGCCCTCTTGAGAATAGTTTTCTAATTGATAACTCATATTTCATACAGGTTTCTAAGCATAATAATTTATGGTTTCCTCAAAATTTTTGACTGGGCTCTTTTAAACTTAGTGATGTATACAAGGAAGCCCTTTGTGTGACTTTTGACTTATTAAAAAACACAGACTTCCTCTGTATAAGAGGGGCATTCAACAAACTGTAAGCAAAATTCTGCATTTTATTTGAAGTCAGGTAAAGCTTTTTTTTTCCTTGTGCCATGTCACCTGGCTTTCACTGGCTCATTTTATTTTCACCCTTAATAAAAACATTAAACTAACTGATTCGCCAAATAATAATATTTAAATCTGCAGATTTAGAGTGATGGATTAAAGATACCATATTTCTTCTAATGAGCCCATGGGTGCTTGTTTGAAATTTTGGTTTAAAGGAGGGGCAAAAATTGGAAGGAAAGTGCTAAATTGAGGAGGTCTGCTGCACTTATTTAAAAATTTATTAACATGTACTTATTCTGTTGTAGTTGAGGCTTAAAAAGTTACAGGTAAAGTGGCATTAGAAACAGGTTTTTCTTGTGTCCCTACTATTTAACCATTTAACTCCCAAGATCTGATTGTAAATTCTCCCCTCTAGCTGATACATGTTTCCTTGTAAATTGGTTACAAGAATTTGGTGTTCAATTAAGGTAACAACTTCTTACTGATGAGTTTGTGGATTCTCATTACCTGTTTGCTGGATCGTGTATGGATATTATAGAGAGAAGTTACATGTTGATCACTTCAGGGAGTTGAAGGTGGGGGTTATCCAGAGGAGGGTGTTTAACAGAGCATAGGCTCTCATTCGAGGAAGTATGGCAGCTGTATTCAATTTGAATTGAATTATGTTTTGTAAATCCTTTTTACTTTGCTCCCCTAGGTTGCATTTAGCCTAGATTTGCATTGCCTGGAGGATCACAACTGCAAAGTTCATAAAAATCTTAGTACGTGTCTGGAAGGTTTTGAAGAGAGTTTTAATCAGCCTCTCCTATCCTTGCCATTTTACAAACAATCATACCAGATGACCATTTCCCAATCAGTAGCTGTTTTACGTAATTATGCAAGGGAATACATACAGCAGCGACTGCAAGCCATGGAAGACTCTAAAAAGAGGTCTAATGATATACTCCAGATGATTCTGGAGGCTTTTGATGTGAATTCAAAGAATAGTGATGCTTACATGGAAGAACTTGTGGATGAATTCCTTACATTTTTCCTAGCAGGTAATGATTTTGGGTCAAAATTGGTTAGCTCATGTTGTTAAGTGCCAGATTGCCATGAAGGAGGGTTCAAACACCTGACGAGACCAACACTTGTGGTCTTTATAAATAAATAGCCGAGGATAATGTGCTGCATCTTCCCTATGCTGGTTAGGTGTGGAGGGGGGAGGGGAGGGGGGGACAAAAACCCCTACAGTTCTCCCAAAGAGTTAGAAACATACCTCTCAGTGTTCTGGTCTGGCCTTCTTATTGTTCATACAGGCCCCCCAATTAAACTAGCTTTAAAGCTGAACTTGGCTAGCCAGTCCAATTATGGCAAATTATTAATAAATAAAATAATTTCTTGATTTAGGGAATGTAGCCTTGTTGTGTGTTGTGAGGAAAATTTCAGAGGGTTCTTGTTCTGGTAAAGAAACTGGATAGCAATTAAATGATCATGAAATCTTATACTGAAACTGACCTTAAGTCAGTTATGTAAAATTCTTGTTTCCAGCACTACTCACATTGAAATGATCAGCCTGCAGTCAGCCTACAGTCAACTTTTTCTCCTAGATTCAAGCTCTTGACTGAAAATTATATTCTATCTCAAAGTTGAAATGGTAAATTGGCCACTGTAACGATTACAAAAGCTGATGTTTCGAGTGTTAGCCCTTCGTCAGAGCGAATAGAGGAATTGTGGGTTGTGTGTGCTTTTAAAGGCAGAGAATGGAGCTAC